AGTCCCTTCTCTTCCAATTTTTATATGATCCATTTTCAACGAAATAAATAGCATTTTCGCTTATTACTATAATACGTGTAGGTATTGTGATCAGTTTATACAGTTATAATATGTTAACATCCTCTGCAAGAGGTCTACGGGAGGAAAGTTTTGAAAGGAAGAGAAGGGACTGGGGACGAGTGTGTTGCCGTAACAACCATATAAAAAAGCCAAATTCGTATTAATCGTATTAATTAGTGAATTTTTTAAAACTTCATAACTTTTCAGTATGTACTTTTACTCTACTTTTAATATCTTATACTACGATAAATTATCATGTATATATTAATCGATTTGTCCACAGGACCTTTCTGAAAATCACGCTGGCGAGAAAGTTTCCTGTCAATAAAGGTTATGATTATTATCTCAAATCATCGAAGGCAAACCCGGAGAACAAGAGCATGCAAGGACAGAAATAATGCAAAAGATATTGATGAAAATCCTGACAAAATCAAAGATGATGCGAATTATGAACAAGTGGAAAATGAACAGTGTTATCGTTATATCTGAAATGTTTGAAACATAATCTATAGCCGTGTTTACATTGCACTTCGTGATTTAGGAATGTTTGATGTTTGATATTCATACAATTTCAAAAGCACCACAGACTTCCTGCTGAATATCAATGAATCTTTGTTCTTCCGCTTTCATAACACGTACTTGAATTGAAGTGCTTCCTCAATTATTTAAAGAAGATGTTTTCAATGTTACTGTTGGTGATTTTCCCGCTGTTACTCCAAGGTGCGTTTTCTCTCGTTTATAACATGCATTTATATTTCATGTGCTTTCAAATATGCAGTCACGTATTTCGCGCTGAAGTACAAGCATATCACTAAGGGAGAGCGCGTTTATTTTTTTTTATTCTTGAAGTCGCAGGTTGCCTGCTCGGCTGGTGTTGTTATATACTTATATGTTACCAACTGGCCAAGTTAAAACCGAACTAACTAGCTAGCTAGTTAGTGCGTCGAAGGTTGGAAAGCAACAGTATTCTTCGCCTACAACTAGACGCATTATAACTTCTGTCTAATAAAATAATGCCTCGTGAGAGGAGAAGTGTTTCGCATCATTCCCAAGCGAACATGCGTGTTTACGGAGCAGTGGTGTCAAGTAACGAAGTAAATGTACTTCGTTACTGTACTTGTACTACTTGAGTACTATTTTTGAGAAGTCTGCATGTGACAAAGTAAACATTTTCTGGAATAGTTTTACTTGGAACGAAGTCGTTACGTGATTTATTCCTGATTTATTAGTCAATTTTAGGATAGGCACTGGGACCTCTACATGCATCTGGGACTCTGGGATCTCTCGTTTGTGGCTTACTTATAAGCATTATTTATTTAATGAATTTCTTATATCTGCAACGGGGTCTGGAAAGTAGACCATGCTGTGAAATATTATATATTTGGTGCACGCATATACAATGCGCGTGCTGTTTTGTGTCTTTTGTAGGGTTAGGGTTAGGGTTAGGGTTAGGGCAACCATTGGAGAAGCCCCCTCCCCGCCCTCCCACACGCTACAGACAAGTACTTTTACTTTTTACTTCAAGTATTTTTAAGGATACTTTGTACTTTTTACTTAACTACGTTTTGCCTCCAGTACTTTTTACTCTTACTTAAGTCGTTTTATTCTTATTTACTTTTACTCGAGTACAATTCAAAGTAATTTTTGCACCACTACTGCGGAGTTAGATCAGCGAGTTAAATGTGACTTAGCTAATGACCTGTGCCTACGTTCAATATATCACGCAAAAATATATATATATAGATGTACATACTACTTGGATAACGAAACATTTTGGTAGTGTATCAAAGCAGTTTGCCAAATTAAACCTGCACTCAGTACGACTGTAAACCAAACCTCTGCAGAACATCTTCTTTCCGAAATCTATTTTTTATTAGTAGAATCATACTAGTATTACTATTGCAAATGCTGTAATTTGATTGGCTATTCTACTCGCTATCTATTCCTCCATAGATGGCGAGTATAGCAAAACAATAATTTTCCTGGCGTATTTAAAAAAAATAGCACTATTTTATGGAATATTGTGGAATATTTTATGTTTCATCTCTGATTCTACTAAAACAATTAAGATTACACGCTCTTGATTTCTATGACATGATAGTTGATTTGGGCTTCGCCCTCATCTACTATCACCTCATAAAAATCTAGCTTCTTTTCCAATCATGTAGCATTAATTTTAAACGTTTCTTTGCGCCGTTTATTTTAGCCAATCAGCGCCGTGACACTTTAAATACAGTAGGATTGTACCCCTATGGAACAGCCGGCCCAACGATATAAAATCCTCTTAATAAACATTATACTGAGAAATTTAATGCTATTAGTGTTGTTTTTGCTTTTTAAATTGTTGTTACTAAAAGTACGTATATTTTAGCGAATTTTAATTATGTACATATACAATGATGTGTACAATCTGTGAATTTGCTAGTTCAAATATTGCTGTAATGCAGGATGTCAGGCAGGACTTAATTTAGGACTTTCAGTATTTGTTCTGTTGTATACTTGTATGAGCCTTCAATTGTTGTAATTGTAAAATTTAATTTAAATAAGATTAGAGCTTTGGGAGTAGAAAAATAGTGTTTCACACGATTTCGTAGCAAAATAAATTATTTTTTCTGTGTTGGTGTTGTGTACTCAGGTCAATATGATATTTGTGATGTTACTCTGAGTGTATATCCACACCGGGGCGAGCTTGAAAAATATGCCCGGCCACGGTGGGAATCGAACCTACGACCTTTGGAATATTAGCCCAATGCTCTGCCAACTGAGCTACGCGGTCAGGACGGTTCGAGTAAGTGATATTTCGGAACAGAATCTAGTTCCTTCGATACCAATGTAATCTAGTAATATGATTTTTTCTGTGTTGGTGTTGTGTACTCAGGTGAATATGAATACACCGGGCGAGCTTGAAAAATATGCCCGGCCACGGTGGGAATCCTTCCGTGGCCGGGCATATTTTTCAAGCTTGCCCGGTGTGGATATACACTCAGAGTAACATCACAAATAAAATAAATCATGTCTGCATCAGTATGCGCATAAAATCGGTAAGTTTATCCTAGTGATCTGTGCGGTCTGAGTTCGATCTCGCAAAGGTTAATACGTTTTGCACAGACCTCAAATTCAAACTGAGGTCTGTGCGACCAGTTACTGAAAAACCCTGCGGATGTCGCGGATAGGGAGTGTGCTGTGCAATATCTGTATAAAGGAAATCGAGTTTTCCGAAGAGAAAGATAGTGCTTCGCACTGTTTCAAGGCATTTTTTTAAAACAAACCATTTGCTATCATCTGCACGACTACCGACAATCACACTGAAACCAGTAATAGTAAATTTAACTTAAACACTAGAAATAACGAACACATGTGCCTACGATCAAAGTCGTTTGCCAAATTAAAACTGCACCCAATGCGTCTGTAAGAATAATATCTACATATTAATAAACCCTGTGTTAATTCTATTTTGAGCATGACTGCAAATTATTTGCGTTTTAATATGTCGTGTCCCTGAATTTCTCACCTCTTTGGCGTAAAATCCACTTTAAAATTACTTCTCAATTTCATTAATAATTCATGAGCAATTCAGCCAATGATAATCACCTATTTGATCACAAAATGCCATTTGGATAACCCGGTGAAACTTGATGAAAGTCACTAGTGTTTTCATCAAATATCTTAATTACGCATGCAAAATTACTTGAATAGATTCCTAATTACGTTATGCTTGGTTAAGAATTATATTCAAATCAGCAAACGAAAACATTCTGTTACGTCTCGATTCATTTGAGAAACCATATGAACAACTCGAGCTCGTGTCTCACCGGGATATCCAAACACTCATACATTGTTTTCTCGTGTTTGGATATCCCAGTGAAACACTCACTCTCGTTGTTCATATATTACATAAACTTAACGAAACAGTTTGGAATGCAAATTGCCCGGCGATCACTCGGACCACTCCTTAAACGGCGGCCATCTTGTTCATTAATTAATATACTATTTGTGACGATCGACGGCGATCCACTATCCGACAAAAATGCGTGCCAAAACCTATAGTCTCATGCAGGGTGCCCCAGCGACTAACTACACTGCAGTCTGGATATGAAAGATTGGATTAAACTTCATTGGCATTATTTCAACCAATATCACCTTAACGATTATTCTCTTTTACCCAATGGCCTCGTTTTCATGTTAACTTACACTGGGAAAAAAATGTGAAATCCATGCTATGAAATTTGAAATTGCACCAGCTAAATCCGTAGTAGCCTATGTCCATACCATTTCCATACTATATCCATAGTATGGAAATATGCAATTATTATGGATAACCAAAATCCATTCATTTCCAATAAAGGTCCATGCATACAACTTCCATTCTATGACCTTCTATGGATTTTCAATTTTTCCAGTGTTATTTTAGCATGTCAGGGGCAGATAAAGATTATATTCGCATGTTTTCCTGACGAATTTGTTTCTTGCTGTTCTTAGGCTCAATAACAATGTAATTTCAACCCTATTAGCTAATCACAAAACGTGAGTAAGTATTTGATACGAAAACGGGACCATTGGGTGAAAAGTGAATAAACGGTGAAGTCTATTGTGGAGGAATGGATCAGAACACCTGCTTACAATAAACAATGTACAGCAGCAGCGACTGAACAGCCAATCAGTTTAGTTAATTAGCTTCCACTAGCTTGATGCATGTTTAGACAAATGAAATATAATTATGCAATATAAGTCGTATAAATGAGCTGTGAAAGACACTGTGCCACCAACAACCATCTATTTATATGGTATACTTCATATAAACGCAAGCACAGGCACGCAACAGGAGACCATTATTTACTTCGTTATTTAGTTTTATTTTTGTGTCTTGTTTCAGGTTGTGCTTGTTTCTTTGTGAAACATGTGCAGACAGGGATGTGTATATTAATGTCACAAGACTACTACAGACAAACGAGTCTTGGGGAAATTTATCTTTTGTGGAACTTTCCAACAACTGTCTGGATCCAGCTGCTCAATTTCGGTTTCTTGATAATGGTGCCATGTCCAATTTGGAAAGAAAGGGATGTTTGGAGGCAACATCTAGGAGTGGTTCTGGTTATGGTCTTGATATGTTGTACATGCTCCTTACCCCAGATCCCTCAGATAATTGTGCTCAGAGACATGCTATAACGCAGATCTCTTGGCGAGGTTTATATGTAATTTATATATTTCGGCCGTGGTGTATAGTTCCTGAAACAGATAGCAGAATTCTTAAAGACCTAGGGATAGATCGGTACATGGGATTAACGTCAAATTGTAACGATGCAGAGGATAAACGTTTTAATTTTGGTAAGTAGTTTTTTATTTCTATGCAGTTAATTTATTTGATGTCTTTCCGCATAAAAAGTTCTTATCTGTGGTTTTCCAATCTGCATTTCATATTTACTTATTAAATTTCTCACGCACCATGCATTGCCGTTAAGCTAGCCCAGAGGCTAGACGTAAACCACATGTATCAAGACGGCTGTATAGTAGAAGGTATACACCTTCTTTATATATAGAAAAATGATTCAATTACCTCGGACGTCTTAATTTTGTCCACAAAAGCAACTGTTGAACTCCACGTTTAATTAGATTTTCCTTATTTCATATAATGCTGAATTTCTGTATAAGAATATCATGTCCAGCAATGGTGTTTTGCACTTTGTACACATCGCTACGCTGTTCAACAAAATCTCTTGCCCTACGTGATATTGTCATTTAGTGCTCGTCACTTCTAAATTTTCATTCTGTTCCAGGTTTAGTGACGTGCCATGGAAATATGATAAAGAATGCCAACTGTCCTAAAGATCAGTACATGGTGATCAGGAATGCATCGTACCGTGGGTTGTCTGCCATAAAGACATGTGGTTTGAGCGACGATTATAGTTGTGAAGTTGATGTAACATGTCTTGTTAAGAAACAATGTGATGGTCAACGTGAGTGTAAAATAACTGTGGATGACAACTTGTTCTCTGGTGATTTATGTCCTGCATTGACAAAATATCTTTACTTTGAATATCAATGTATCGATACGCCAACACCATACCTTTGTGGTACGTTTGACTATTGTATCGTGTAGTATAGGCCGTTATCATCAATGAAAACTGTATGTCTATCACACAGGCGCGTAACTGCTGCGGGGTGGGGGGGGGACCGCCTTCCTTCAATGTTGTAATATTGCAGTTTCCTCGGGCAATTTTAACGACACGCTCGTCGGGCAAAAAATATGTAATTTAGCAAACGATTACTGAAAATTACGAAAATATTTCTGCAAAATTGTACAAACTTCTGTAATTTAGCGAAAAAATGGTTTGATCGAAAATGCCCCGCTCGCCAACAATTACCGACTGAAATGTCCATCGGGCACGACTTTCGCCGCCCATTTGGTCGGGCAAAACAAATCACGCCACCCCCTCCCCCCACCAGCCGTAATACCCAAGTTACGGCCCTCCTATTATCATGTTCATAATCGTAACTGTTTCCCATTCGATGTCCGGTTTACCTGGAGCCATCGTCATTGTTTATTGATTGTTTTAGTGACTAGAGAGGTATGTTTTTTTCTCGTTTTGTGTTTGTAGTTGATGGCGTGTTTTTGTCGCATTCATCTCTACCAAGTGAAGGCTTTGTACAGTTAGTGACCAAATATAGTGGGACCAAGAGTGTTTGTTGGCACAGTTTACAGAACCAGGCCGCGAATATTGTTTGTCGTCAATTGGGTTACATCAGAATGGCCTCTTATGATAATAAAATCCCTCCATCAAACCAAGATGCAACATTTTCGGGAAGTATAGAGTGCAATGGTGGAGAGAAAAACGTATCTCAATGTTCCATTACTACTTCTACCAAAAAATGTTCTGATATTTTTTACATAAAATGTAAGTTTTACACATAAAGAATACACGAACGGGACAAAGCAGAGAAGATAAAGAACGTAACATTTAATTCTAATGTTTTAGGTTTTATTTGTGACAGACCTCTGTTAGGTGGTAAACAAAGATTTCCAGATTCGTCATTCACTGCCTCAGATTCTTCAGGACACAGTCCGTCTGACGCAATAATATCTAGTGACAGTTCTTGGTGTGCTCCTGTCTCAGATGGCAGACAATACAGACATTATCTTCAACTGGACTTAGGAAGGCTTTATGTGATATATTATTTTATAACTTTTGGTGATAGTACTAGCCCAAAATGGGTGACGACATATAACTTGAATTACACTATTGATTTGATAAACTGGAGATCAATTTGGAACCAACCGGTAATAGCTATACATTATTTTGCAGACAAAAAATTATAATACATCTTGTAGTGGGAAGACAAGCGAATAACTTAAAGAAAGAAATGTTTCTTTATTGCATGCATTAATTAAACCTTTTATTACAAGAAGGTCATATTCCAAAGAAGATGACGCTTTACTATTGTCTTTAGATCTCGGGAAACAAAGATGCTTACAATGATGCAGCCATACAGTATTTCCCTGGAGGCATAACAACAAGAGCTTCACGGTTTATTCCATTAACGTATGTTGGTCAACCGTGTATGAGAATTGAAATTTGTGGTGCTAGTAAGTTATACTGATTTTTCCAATGAAGACATGATAAGGAGTTCACGAGATGAATTAATATAATACTGACGCTGTTTTATATGAAAGTTCTGTCTTACACTTTGATTTCCTTCTTTCTAGCTCTGTTACCATATAAACCTACAAACCTCACGGTCACTAGCATCAAGTCAAGAAGTGCTGAAATATCTTGGCTAGATCCAGAGAACAGAGCAGACAAAGTTCTTTCAAAGTTTTGGATTAAAATGAAGAAAGAGAACTCCCTTATCCTGAATACTGCCACAGATAAAGTGAACAAATACAAATTAGATAATCTCACTCCATACACTACATATGAAATATCCGTGGCTGCTGGTAATCAAAACGGTTTTGGTAAAGGGATTATTACCTCTTTCTTAACATCCGAGGAATGTGAGTATTAAAAGATCAATTGTCAGTGTCACATAGAACGTGCTTTATTCACAAGTGTTAGTCAATTGAAGGCAAGATTGTGCTGAAAACATTTTGAAAACAGCTTTCCAGTTTGCTTATTCTCTGAGAACATGTTGGCTTCTCTTTCATTTAAGAAACTTACTTTTAAGATACAATCATACAAACCAATGTCTATCTTGTATCTAAGCAGTGTCTTCACACCAGGAGTGATAAAAAAAGTTTCCACGTGGCTCATTGTATTTTATTTTACCTCGGATTTAAATACAAACCTCGGTTTTAATCCTTAGCTCCAAGCGGTCCTCCCTTGAACATCAAGACTACATCAAGAAGTGCATCACCATTGTCCTTCACCTGGGATCCTCCTGAGAAAGATAAACAAAATGGCTTCATTATCAGTTATACTGCATGTGTTTCATATTCGGCAAATGATCCTTGTTTTCAGACATTTATCACAAGTGAAAGAGAGTGGCTCGTCAGAAATTTAAATGCATCAACAAAATATTATATTTGTATTCGTGCCAGTAATAAAAGAAGGAAGTAATGCTTACAGTGGAAGTATTGGATTTTTTACAAATGGAAGTAAGTTTCATAAGTTTACAACAGGTATATATGCCGATATTTAGATTTTGACTGTGCCTGTGGAGAAGAAACGTCTGATTGGAATTTTATGTTTGTTAGAACGTTTTTAATTGCACCGTAAAACAGAATAAATCGAAGCAGCCAATGAGTTCAGTATAATTTTATTGGGACATTGTCAGCCTCGAGTTCCAAGTTGGATCCAACCTGAAAACCCTACACAAGACCTCTTGTTCTAGCAAGATATTTTACTCGTTAATACTTTCACGTTTTCCTCCAGGAGCAGCAAAGAAGACCACAGAAGTGACATCAAGCACGCTCACATATTCGTTGCAAATTCCATCAAAAACGTTTGTGTAAGTTTACCGACTTTAATTTCTGATGGTAACATTAATTAAAGTCTAGCTTCCGTGGTCGCCGTTGTAATATACTTGTAATATATTGAGACAGGACACTATATCTTGTTTATTGTGTACTGCATGCAAATAATTGATTTTCATTGGAGACATAAGTCGACTCTTTGCTACATCGGTCACATAAACATAGTTGCCATCGTCGTGACCAAACAGAAACTGAGCTCCCATTGAGATTAGGTATAGGATAAACACCGAGGAGGGATTTATGTCAGACAATGTGCGGGTCTGAGGGAATTATCTGACATAAATCTCGACTTTTGAGGTGTTTATCATTGAATTCTTGATTGCGGAGGTTTTCCAACAAAGTTTTGTCTGTTTCGTCTGCTTTGATCGAACGACGATTTTCTGACTTTACCTTCATCTTTTCAGCTAATTAATATTCAAGGTCATTAATAAAAATAATCATCTCGGTACATGAAAGAAAACCGACTCAATCAAGAATTAATCCTAGATATTAAGTAACTATTTAAATCTATTATTGATAGTTGTTCTATTTGAAGTAAAAGGGTAAATTTTTGTTTGTAGTTATTTCTACGTGGTGGCTTTGAAATTAAAAGACGGCAAGGAACCTACATCATCTGACAGTTACGAGAACAATGAGTTAGTGACGTATGCCAAGGCAAGAAAATCAACCAATCCGAAACCTTATATCGCTGCAGTTGTTGCATCCAGCGAAGTTGATGGAAATATGTTTATACTTGGTGATAGCAGAAATACAAGTGATCCAACCTCACGAAGAGGCAGATCAACCTCAAGTGATTATTATTATAATGGTCCGCTGGAGCCTGGCAGTAGTTATAGTATTTTTCAAAGGATTGTACTCAATGACAAGGTATCGTACTTGCTGGTTATCACACTTTAGAAGTTAAAAGCTTTCCTTGTCTAATTTCTCCTATAAAAGAAATTTGACATTGACACAGATGCCAAACATAGTAAGAACAACGTGATAAAATCTTTTGTGTATCTATAACAACACTGATAAATTTTCATTTACTTCTTTTACGTTAGAATGAATATTACTCCACAGACTGGAGTCGTGCTTCATAAACGGACGAATATGCAGGTAAATAAATGGAGACAATTTAACTGTATTCATAGATGATTTAGAGTTAAATAGTAAAGTCACCGTAGCAAAGAATACACATTTGGTCGAGATGAAACCAATGCATTATTCATAGAAGAATAATGGTAGTTCATTTGTTCAGTGACAACTTGTTCTTTGCTAGTATATTCAAATGTCTCTTGTATTTTCTGTTTCTCAGGTAGCCCTCGTGTACTGACCAAAATATCCAGTGGTGACATAAAGACAAAGGAAGGTGATCTTGTCAACCTATTGTGTTCTGATCAAGGTGAACCTCCAATTACTTTCGGCTGGGAAAAAGAGCGGAAGTCACTGAAAAGTTTCACGGAAACTGAAAAACCGCATCGCAGTTCTTTCCTTGTTGTAACAGAGATAGACGAAACAAGTTTTGGGGAGTATATTTGTCATATCCGAGATCGATTTGAAAGTACTACTCGCACAATTTCAGTCCAAAAAGATACAGGTATGATACAGCATTCGATTTGTTCATCCTTCACAAATTTTATAAAACAAAATTTAATCAGAACACAATCATTTCTGTTTTAAATTAGTTATCTTGAATGATTACGTATTCCAAAGAAGCGCATCAGTTTCAGGCATTCAAAGTTAGCGCGTTGTTTGTTTTACATAGGTGAAAACTATCTTGCTGGGATTATAAATATAATATTAGCAATTCTGCCGGTCATTTCATTTGTTATTATTGCTTATTTCATCTATCAAAATCGTCGACTCAAATCATCGAAGGCCAAACCGGAGAGCAAGAGCAAGGACAGAAATAATTCAAAAGATATTTACGAAAATCCTGCCAATATCCAACATGATGTGGATTATGAACAAGTGGAAAATGAACAGTCGACGTATACAGCTCTCAAAAGGACTGGTAAGGAGGAAAATGTTGATCACCTATATAGCCATCTAAATGAAGTGCACAAGGACTGCGTGAATCAGAAGGAAACGGAATTTAATTAAGGGAGCTGTGGTATGAAGCCCGTTTGGTTTATTTAGTGGATAAACTCAATATAGAAAAGCAAGTGTATAATTTTGTTAATTAATCAAACTGAACGTTTTCGATTGAGTAGAAAAATTACCAATCTGTACTGATTAATTCTTAAAGTGTTATTATTATAACTGAAATTAAATGCAAAACATTGATATTTGCTTTCGTGCAATTTCAAAAGCACCACAAACTTTGTGCTGAGTTTCAATGAATATTTTTGTTATTTTGCTTCGCCTCGTTGGTTTATTTCTTCTTCCGCTTTTATAACGCGTACTTGAATTGAAATGATTTCGCAACGAAATTTCAAAGTGTTTTCATTTTGTAATACTAACGGTGATTTTCCTGTTACTCCAAGTTTTGTGCCATCGATCAGCGCTGTATATTCAACGTGTTCAATAATTTTGCGGTGCACGAGTAAACATTTCCTCAAAGTGTGCGTGTGTACAAAGGGCCATTTAGATATTAGCTTACAATAGGAGGCAAATACGCGTGCGTGTTGACTCATATTTTCAAATAAATTCGTGAAACATGGCCGCCGTTGTTTGCGAAGACGAGTTTTATTCATCCTGATCAGACGAAAAGACGTTTAAGACTAGCTTCGCTCCGAAAAGTACGAACGATATGGTGGACATCATAATAAACACATGGATATTCAGGCCACAGTTCAGCGATTTTGTCCTCCAACATAGCATCAGCAACAACATTTCTAGAGTTCTAGTTACCATTTTGATTTGAATATATGAGTCAACACGCATGTGTATTTGCCTCTTATTGTGAGCCGATTGCTTTGCACGCTCGCACACTTGGCATGTTTTCAACATGTTGAATATACGGCGCCGATGGCACGCGTGAACAATAGCGCTCAAAACGCCACCGCACACTGGGGGAACATTCTTGCGCCAACCGTCACGATAACTTTGCTAAGCTGCTAGCTCTAGTGTGCGGCGGGCTTTAAGCAACCGTCCAATAGGTGTAGCTGTAGTTGATACGAAACGTGCAGCCACAATGAATAATATTTAATGAATTGAATTGAATTTGAATTTATTAATTTGTCACAATTGGTTGATACAACAATTAGAAAAGTAATAATTTACAAAAGTAATAAGAAGAAATGAAAAATTGTGACGAGGTAGTCCAACTAGAAGCCGAGGCTTATTAATTGCTAGACTACCTCATGTCAAATATTAAAGAATAAGTTATCTAAATATATATGAGGTAGAATAGTGAGCAGACATATAATAAGGAAACTAATATAATACAAGAATACACACATAATATCAAAACGAAGATACTTAGATCCACACACCTAGATGTAAATTAGATACTATTAGTTACTAAAAATCATCGGACAAATTATCGAAAATTAAATGCTTTTTAAGATTCGATTGGAATGAATACACAGACATATGGCGTTCCGTAAACTCTGGTCCAAGGAGTTAAAAAATACTGGACCTTGATGGTAGACAAAAAATTGTCGTAATTTTGTTCTACAAAATGGTATACTAATTAGGTTTGAACTTCTGGTATTGTAGCTATGTACCTCGCTATTTACCAAAAACAAATTCTTAAATCTAGGAGGAAGAGAATTTCTAGAAGCAAGATACATAAATTTTCCCAAGCAGAATAAATAAATATCATTCAGTTTGAGAATCACACTCTCTTTAAATAGAGGAGAGGTATGAGCATCATATTCCTTCTTATTAATTATTCTGATTAGTAATTACACGTTTTTGAAGCAATACGATGCGTTCCAGGTTAGACTGATAAGTTGAACCCCATACCAAAATACAATAATGCAAGTACGGATAGATTAATGAAAAGTACAAAGTTCTTAAACAAGATTTAGAGAGGAAAAAACTGGATTTGTAAATTATTCCAATTGATTTAGAAATTTTACGTGAGATATGTGAAATATGAGGTTTCCAAGATAAATTTTCATCGAGAACAACTCCGAGGAAAACAACCTCATTAACCCGTTTGATTTTAGTGTTATTAATTTCTATACTAAACTCAGGTATATATCTCTTTTGCCTAGTTTTGAAAATCATAAAACTAGATTTTTGAATATTAATTGAAAGTTTATTGGCTTTAAACCACTCGGACAGCTTGAGCAATTCACTATTAATTGTATTCATCATAAACGAAAGATCATTATGAGAAAGAAATAGATTAGTATCGTCAGCAAATAGGATAAAATTAAGAATACTGGAGACATTGCAAATATCATTTATATACAACAAGAAGAAAAGTGGACCAAGAATTGATCCTTGGGGAACACCACATTTAATTTCATTAGAAGATGATTGAATACCATTGTATTTAACAAATTGGTATCTATCACTAAGATAATTTCTTATCCATTCAAGTGCTAAACCACGGATACCATAATGTTGCAATTTTTCGAGCAGTATCTTGTGATTTACAGTGTCAAATGCCTTTGAAAGGTCGATGAAAATACCAACAGTGAATTTTTTCTGACCAATAGAAGAGGTTATACTGTCAACCAGATGCAGAAGTGCTAAAGCTGTCGAATGGTTTTTTCTAAAGCCATACTGGTTATTGAACAGAACCTCATTTTTGTTTATGAAATCCATAATGCGGTTACACACAGTCCTTTCTAGTAATTTGGAAAATATTGGCAAAACCGATATAGGTCGATAATTAGAGAATAGATTGTTTGGTCCAGATTTATAAATGGGGACAACTCTAGCGATTTTCATCTGGTCGGGAACTATGCCGGTTTCAATTGACAAATTTACAATATGAGTTAAAGGTTTGCAAATATATTCAAATGAAGCCTTAACGGCCCACGTTGGGAGTTTGTCCCAGCCAACCGCGGTTTTAGGACGGAATGATTTAATAATTTCGTTTAGCTCCAATTCCGAGACTGGTTGCAAAAAAATAGAATTGATAAAATTACCGTTAAGATAAGAGTGATGAGTATATTGGGATACATGAATATTTTTCGCTAAATTTAAGCCAATATTAGAAAAATAATTACAAAATTGATTAGCTATTTCCATCGGGTCAGAAATATTTCTATTATTAGTAAAAAAGTTAGACGGTAGTTTATTCACTTTGTTCCCTCTCCTTTGTAATATCTCGTTTAAAACTTGCCAAGTTTTCTTAACATTTGTTTTCGCTAAGTTCAATTTTTCTTAATGAAGGCGTTTTGCTGTACGTAACAGAGAACTCAACTTATTTCTATATTGTTTGTAATTTATTTCGTTTTGTGAGGTGGGAAACTTCAGAAATTTTCGGTAAAGTCTGTTCTTTTTCCTAACAGATTTAAGTAAGCATTTGGAAATCCAAGGTTTTGTTAAACAATGTTTAGATGCTTTGATGTGTTTAAGAGGGAAACATTCGTTAAATAAGGCTGTTTATTTTTTTTCTTGCGGTCCGAAGTCATATTTTACGCTTTTCTGCAATCTGATTGGCTACGTGAGCGGTCCGTATGAGCCCGTACGGACCGCGCGAGATTTAAAGCCGTAGAGCCAATGTTTTTATTTTTCAAAATTTAAAGACGAGTTTAAAGGTTACTTTTTAAAACATTAAAATGTCTGCAGACGATGAAAAACACAGTGAAAACGAATTTTACTATCTCACAAAAGATATTTCTCTTCCCGATAGCATTGATAGAAACGACGTTTTATTTGGCAGCTTCATTCGCGTGCGGGAGGAGTGATCGGGGAAATCCAGAGGACGAATTAAAAAAAAATAAAAATAGTATTTACCTGTATGGTCGGTCCGTATAGAGAAATATTTCTCTCGGTCTTAAGAACGTCCCTCGGCCTTTGGCCTCGGGCCGTTTTTAAGACCTCGAGAAATATTTCTCTATACGGACCTCCAATTCGGTAAATAACATATATATATTTATGGAGAAATGATCCGTAGGCATTTGCCGGATTGTTATATTCATCGAGATTCTCCCAATTAGTATTACGTAATTGATTGAGAAAATTGATCACATTTAATTGCTTCTTATCACGAACTACAAAATATGAGTTCACATTGCACCTATCTTGCTGCTCAGAGAAGATACTAAAAATGGGTAAGTGGTCAGATATATCAGTAAACAATAGACCGCTTAGAGCGTGGTTGTCAAGATTATTAGTAAAAATATTATCAATTAGGGTTGCCGAATGTGAAGTAATTCTAGTAGGATGTGTTATTAAGGGCAAAAACATATTAGTGTACATTATATCTAGGAACTTACTAGTTAATTCATGATTTAAGTGGTTCGTTAAATTAATATTCCAATCCCCTAAAATATAACATGGCTTGTTTGTTTTGGAAATTTCACTAATCAAATATTCCGTATTGGTAATGAATTCATCAATGCTGACATCAGGGGGTCTGTATACGATACCAACGATTGTATTCTCCCCATGGGGTTTGGGAATTTCAATAAAAAGTGACTCAGTACGAATTGACTGATTAAATCCTAGGTCTGAGCGAATTATAAA